AATATAAAGTGGCTTACGTACGCAGGCTGACTTTTCCGCATGGAACCGAAATTTTAGGAATAAACAGAAATGATGGTCTATGTATGGTTGCAGTTACTTAAATTACCGTGAAAACTTGTGAATATTATTTTCTCATCAAAATAAATAATCACACCAAGTTTAAAGAAATTTCAATCAAAAAAATAGCCTGTTCAAAGTTTCACATCATTACGGTACCACAAACAACTCCTACTTACATTTGACTTTTTGACAAAAGCTCTACTACTGGCGCCATCTCTTTATACGAAGTCTAAGTAATAGATTTTTTTGTGTATTTCTCAAGTTTGAGATAAACCGCACATTGAATTGCGTTGAATTGTAATTTAATAAATTGTTCATTTTTTTTTTTAAACATTTAAGTAATAAATAATTTTTAAAATGATATTGAATTTAAAATACAATAGAATAAAATAAAATAAACTAAAAACAAAGAGAGAGAAAACAGTGGAATGACAACAATCAATGTTGTCACTCACACGAACTTTTTTCTACACGAACAGTATTAGAATGACAAAAACCGAAATGAAGTGCACATGTATTTGAACAATATTGATCGCTCACATTGAGCGTCTCTACATACATACACAGTGCGCATAAGCGAACGAATCAACGTTAAGAATTTTGAACATGTGATTCAATGAGAGCAATGTTATTCGCAAAAATACATGGGCATTTCACTTTGGTTTATGTCATCGCATATACCGGCTGTCAACGATGAGCATGTAAACAAATTGTCATTTTGTATGATGCTATGTTTTGAGATTTCATATTAAATTAAATTTTTTTCATCAAAAAAATTGCTAAGTGTGCTCGATTAATTTTAAGTGAAATTTGCAATCAAATTTTAAATGCTACGAAATTTCAAGTCGAAAGAAATATTGCTCTACGCTGTGTGTATATTTTTATTTAATTTTTTTGTAATGAAGAGAAGACCGAATAAAAAGGCGTTTCATATGACGTAGATTGGCGGCAGTAAACCATAAATATGTATATAATAACTGTTGTGACTTCTATAATTCTTCTCTTTGATTTCGTTGACATTTTTTATTACCAGTTATTAAATTACAATTCAACGCAACTAAATATGTATGTGAATATGCGATTTCTCTCAAACTTAAGAAATACACAAAAACTTTTATTACTTCAACTTCGTGTAAAGAGATGGCGCTACGTTGAGCGGAGTTCGGCACAATAACACAGAAGCCCATATGACGCAAGTCAGGGTTGACCACAAAGGCATGTCTTTCATACAAATATGAAATTTTTTGTGGATTTTTCTATGAAAAGTCTGTGAAAAATTGATTGCATATTAAAACTAACATCAGATTCGGATTTCTCGTACCAAAAAAAACCCACTACACATTCTTTCAGCGTTCAAATTGAAAGAATATCATTTTAAGGCATTTTTCTCATAAGTGCCTCTTCACAGTCTAAGTTTTACATCGATCAATCAATGTCGTTGAAAATTTGACCAGATCTATTCGTCGTAGTGTCCAATCATCCCGTAAAGTCAGATTTTGAATTTCATGTCTGAGCACGAAACCATCGTGTCACCAAAATGGTTGAAAAATGATCAAAAAAGTAAAATGTATGGATGTGGATATTCCATTCGGACCAAAAAAAATTACACCGGTCAACAGATATTGCTCAAAAACTAATCAGCACGTCTCCTAGTAGTCCCAAATCATCCTGCAAAGTCAGAATTTGAATTGAGTTCTTGGAAAAAGATTTATCGAGTTAACAAATTTTGGCAACACGCCACAGGACACAGGACACAGGACACATCACACACAGCGACGCACATTAATATGCCCCAAAATCATCTCCAATCGTGTTTTCTACATGAAATATGCATAGAAAACATGTTTTGGGATGACTTTAATTTTTTGGCCTAATACAATACCTTTCTTACACTAGGTGTGCGGAAAAGTAAAAACTCCTAGCAAATCGAAGAATACTCTAGACCTAAAGGCAGTTTGCTCAAATGGTTTAGAGAGTATCTAAATTATACCGCCTGTGCATGGACGTACACATATTATAAATCGATGTACACTTATGAACTAATCAGCTTTCGCTGTGAGTTAATTACAAGAAAGATATGTGCTAGTTTTCATTTTTGTTGTCGAAAATAAACACATAAACACAATGAAATTCAATATGAAATGACATTTTCGAATCAACACATGGATGTTTTCCAAACATCTTTTTCTTCGCCAAGCCAAACGTGTCTATTGCCAATCTACGCAAAACAAAATTGGGCCTTCTTCTAAATATCTTTTTTCTACTGTTTTTGCAGCCGCTATTTGTGACAAAAATTCATCGACTTTTTTTTTCGATGCAGACACAGAGAATTTCAAATGAATAAATGTCTTGCTTAATTTGTCAGCTGTTTATCATCATTCTACAACTGTAGTCAGTCGCTCTTATTCGTAACAACAACCTTACAAGTGACGATAAAAATCCATTAAATTTTCAGCGTAAATGAGTGATAGAATGGGTATTGTGGCGAGAATAAAATGGATTCTTCTTCCATTCATTCTTGAATTTTTGGAAATTTGTTCGGCCTTGAATATTGCTGTTATCGGAGCTGGCCCATCGGGTATTGTTAGTGCAAAGAATGCCATTGCCCAAGGACACAATGTAACCATTTTTGAAAAAACTGGGACACTCGGTGGAATATGGTACTATACAGAGGAAACTGGCACGGATGAATACGGTGTTGAAATTCATACTCCAATGTATCGTGACCTCACGTGAGTATATTTATAAATTCTCGGCGAGGGCGAATGAGAGAAATTTTTCAAAACTTATCGTAAATAATGTGAATGTTTCAAACAGAACTAATTTAGCAAAACATCTTATGATATTCCCGAACGTACCTCCGTATACATATCCATATGGAACTCCATCATATCCATCACATGAAGATGTTTGGAAATATCTGAATTCTTTTGCTGAAGAGTTTCATGTAAAGGAACTCATTCGATACCATCATTTTGTTGACAAAATTGTTGTTAAGAAGAACGGCAAGTGGGAAGTGACTGTTTTAAGAAAGAATTTATGCAAACAAAAACAAAAAGAGACTCATGAATTTGACGCTGTTTTTGTTTGCTCTGGCATTAACTTTGAAAAACGAATCCCAAACATTGAAGGAGCCTGCAAATTCAAGGGAAAAACTATGCACAGTCGTGACTACCGTATACCTGAAACATTCATTGGTATGTGTGAAGGTTTTTTTTCTGTTTTAACTGCACTGATGATGAGGTCGGGAGATAGGTTGCACCCAATTTGGACTCAAGGATTTCAATGGTGACAGTCGTTTTGCTACGTTGATTTATGATCTCATATAAAGTTGACTTCGGAAATTTCTCCCAAAAGCGAGTCTAGAGAGAAAGTTCTGAAGACAACTCTGTAAGATGTCATGAACGGACCTAATAAAACGAGTATCGCCACCAAAATCCTTGGCGTCAAATAAGATAGATTCATCCTGTCTTCTGACTGTCAAAAAGCAAATAAATACATGTCTTCTAGGAGAGAATGAATCAATCTTGGTTATTGGAAAAGGTCCTTCGGGCTATGATATAGTAGAGCAACTTAAAAAAGTTGGTATCTCAGTAGTGCACAGCTCCTACCAGTCAATATCTCTTGTGGAAAAAATATTAGGTAAAAATCTTCAAAGCACTACTTTGCATCAAAGGCTTTGATCGCTATCAATCAGAGAGAGATGAGATAAAGTATTTCAAAGTAATGATAGGTTTTTCTTTGAATGTATAAAAAAAATGTGCATACAGGAACGGCAATAGCTTTCTGTGAACCCAAAGATTTTCACGATGAATGCGAAAAGCCAGACTGCAACCCGGTCGCTGAATCTGGTAAAGTAAGACGTTTCATGGGTAAAAATCAGGTTGAATTTCAATATGGTCCGTGCCTAAATTTTTCAATGGTTATCTATGCAACAGGTAATTGATTCCAAACCTCGTATCCATTTAATCAACTCCTTTTCGAAATTAGTGCCAATTATCCCATCAAATGAGATCGAATATAATTCTTTTCAGGCTATAAATTTTCATATCCATTTTTGGATAAAAGCGTTGGTATTCGTGTCAAAGACAATTATATCGAACCATTGTACATGCATATTTTAAATATTCAACATCCATCCATGGCATTTATCGGTGTCGCTTACGGTGGAATAAGTTTTAAAATGTATGAGTTGCAGGTAAATATTCTGGTTATGACAAACAAAATTATACGACAATTAAATAAATACACTGCCAGTTTTTGGCCGTAGAGCTTAATGTGAAACGTGGAACCGTACTACTAAGAAAAACAAACTACTCGACATTCATATTTTGAATGTTTTGCCACAATTTTTTTAAAATAAATTACGCCTTGAAAATTGATTTTGCCAATATTTTCACTAATTTGGCCTCAAACGGCCACCTGGGAAACACATTCACAAGTTTGATTGGCTAATAAGCTATATACCGTTGGAAAGAGAGCTTCAAGAGCTATCATCTGGCAAAGTTTCATCAAAATCATAGAACTAGGTTGCTTGCAATGAGATTCGGAAGCCGATTTTTCTCACAATTTTTCATATTTCGGCCAAATGGCCAGCGTAAAACGCCATCAAACCTGCCGGAAACTCCATAATTTATATACCATTCGAAAGGTAATTTTATAAGGGATCTAAAACAATTTGGTACCTCGGGTGTCTCCAACTTTTTTTCAACAAGTTTCATCTAGATCCAAAGTAATCAAAGTAAAACTCATTTATTCCATCTTTTATCCACCCAATAAAGTTGCGGAGAAAAATAATTCCACCCGAATCCATTCGTTATTCACTCAATAAATGGTGAGTGGAATCGAAATATTTTTCAAAGTGGAATCCAAAAAAGAGGGTCCATGAATGAAAAAATTAAATGGGGAGCACTTATGGGGAAAATAAAAAATACGTCTGGAGGGTTTTTCATGCCCTCTCGAATGCCGAAAGCCCGAACTCTCTAACTTTTCTGGTTTTCTCTAAAATCACTGAACAAACATATATATATATATATATATATGAATGGGGTAGAATAAAAACTACTTCTCGAAAAATTGGTATTTGAAAACGAAACCAAAAAAAATTTTCAATTAAAAGTGAACCAAAATCTTTTTGTCAAATTGAAGTGAATCAAAAAAATTTTGTTCGATAAAAGTGAACCAAAAAAAAAATTTATTTGATTTTTTCAGTGTAAAATACACTAAAATGAACTTTTTTTTTTGGTTCACTTTTATCGAACAATTTTTTTTTTGATTCACTTCAATTTGACAAAAATATTTTGGTTCACTTTTATTGAAATTTTTTTTAGGTTTCGTGTTTAGTATTTTTTTTCGAGAAGTAGTTTTTATTCTACCTCATTCATATATATCTTACTATTCCATAGCTTAATGTATAAAACTACGTTTCACATTAAGCAAAACTTGAACAAATTTTGAGAATATGAATTTTGGTAATTCTGCAGTCTCGTTTTGCGTTGAAATTCATCACTGGAACGAAACCACTTCCATCACAGAAGGAAATGCTGGATTATTCCAAGAATATATCGCTTAAAGTGAAACCACATCTATTGGGAAGAGGAGCTGAAGACTACTATTCCAGTTTGGAAGCAGTGGCTGATAATTAAATTCACCGTTACATGATTGAATATGAATATTTTAAGGATCGAAATTAATTTTAATAAATTGAAGATTGTAAAAAAAGAAAGTATCGCAGATTAGTCAGCAGTTGATTAGGAATTCCAAAAAGTGACCATTCGATCCGATTTAACCATATTTCTACATTTCCCAATGTTCAATACAAATATCAGTCTTATGGAACGTCCAAATGATTATATACCAAAGGTATAATCAATTATTTTTGGTTGAAAAGCATTCCAGCTTCAATTCACCTTGATTTATGGACATGTGTGTTACCTTTACTATATTCTTCGATTTTTGCTAGGAAATTTTGAGTAAAAACAGTTTATTTTCATCCAATTCGTCTAAAACTTCACCAGTACCTAAATTCTGGTCATAAATGATGATTACTCTTCATTTTGGACCGATGTGATTGAGAAAAGGTGTGTTTATATTTTCACAAAATCTAGTGTTACAAGGGATAAATAAGGGATCCATGGAATAAGGGATCCATGGAATAAGGGATAATAAGGGATCCATGGAATCGATATAGCTCTTGCGCCTACTGGTGAGACGAAAACCAAAAAATACACCCGTATATTATTTCTGACGTCTAATAGACACAAAAAAACTATTTGCCCAGCAAATTCCGAAAAATGACCAAAAAAACCACCCTAATGTGTAGTCATATGTACGTTGAACGCATGCGGCTATGACTACGCGTGTGCTTAATGAAACAAACATATCTTCTTTAAAACACAGGCAAAAGCATTAAAATACATATCTGGAGAAAAACAGCTGCCAGAATATAAGGAAATGTTGGCTTCTTCAAAAAAGATGACATTCAAAGAGAAGCCACAGTTCAGCCCTTGGTACTATTTAATGTTGGCAAAAGGTGCTGACACCGAAAATATACGACAAGTATAGACCGACATAAATACCGAAAGCTGATGGCAATTTTCGAAACTACAAATACATCATAAATGGAATGTATTTTGAAACAGTTCTTGAAACATAAACATTTCAGTCAAGACATGGTCTTCATTCAATAAATGTTAACAATGACAATACTTTCAAGGCCGTGTTTGGTTAATATGACGCATATAAATAACTCTTATATTCATTGTTAACTGCACGAATGTCTTGTTTTCATAATAATAAATAACAGATACTAGCAAAAACAAACTCATTATAGGCAAAATTCGACACATTTGGTTCAAGATGGTTCTTAAAAAAATATGGGGGGTGATGGCAAAATTCTATAGGGAGTCCCTGGAAAAATCCATACAAGATACACAAGAGTAACTTTGTAAATGGATTTCTCTCGGCAAAATATTTGGCGAAAAAGGGTTTTTGGGGTTTATACTCGGGAAAAATGTTTAAGAGGGGGAGAATTTGGCTCAAAAATCCTTAGCAACTCGATCGATTTTCTCTCGGCAAAAAAGCCTATCAAATCGAAAGAATCTAGGGTTCTTGTTTTTAGGGTTCAAAAAAAAATTGAAGTAGAGGGACCTATATTACTTTTGGACCTTGTAAGTGTGCGTTTTGCATGTACATATATGTGACGTCACATGTCCGTGTGACGAATTCACGTATACATACAAAACGCACAACTACTTACAAGGTCTAGAGCACCATTTACTCTAATTTACAAAAATTTTTAATCAATAATCTCAAAAATATTCAATGCAACAGAAACACATTAATTATATAGTTTTATTGTTTTGTTTTGGTATTGTAAAGTGTGTACGACGACAATTTCTAATTGTGATTTTCAATTGGATTTGTTTGATCATGTATAAGATCACACTGTATGTGACCAAAAAGTAAAAGCAATAAAAACGTTTACTTAATGTGTCCCTTTATAAATGTGTAATTCGATCGGATGTTTGTTTGCATTGATTATTTATATAAAAAATGTATGGTTTAATAGAAAGGATCATAAATTATCCATTTTATTTTCTTATTTTTCAAAGTGTATCTACTTGCTATTCAAAAACACAATACACTGATGAAACAATTTGTAAAAATAAGAAAATAAAATGTATAATTAATGGTTTTTCTATTGTGACATACATTTTTGATTCGGCATCTTACTTTAAGAATTTTAAAGAACGCACAACTGATTTCATAAATAAGGCTTTATATGTAAATATGGTTTCATTTTTGTTTGTACGTCAACAATTTCTAATTGTGATTTTTAATTGCATTTATTTGGTCATGTATATGACCACACTATATGTCACCAAAAAGTAAAAGCAATAAAAATGTTTATTTATTGTGTCCCTTTATAAATGTGTAATTTGATCGGAAGTTTGTTTGCATTGATTATTTATATAAAAATGCATGGTTTAATAGAAAGGATCATAAATTTTACAGTTTATTTTCTTATTTTTCAAAGTGTATCCACTTTCTATTCTAAAATACAATACAGTGATTAAACAATTTGTAAAAATAAGAAAATAAAATGTTTAATTAATGGGTTTTCTTATTGGGATACACATTTTTTGATTCGACATCTCACTTTGAGAAATTTTGAAGAACGCAGAACTAATTTCTTATATAAGGCTATATAAGCAAATTATGGCTTCATTTTTGTTTGAGAGTTCGATAGAGTAACTTCAGCGTTCAATTCATTTTGAAATAAAATCAAGTTTGTTGAGGAGCTCGATTGAGCATTGCAATTTCAACGTTCAATTCATTTTAAAATAAAAACAAGATTGTTCAATATATTTGTGCAGAAAAAGTGAATAATTTGTGAACAAAAAGTTGTGTGACATTTTACGATGTCAATGTCTAATGATCCTGGTGTCATTATCGTTCAACAACCGCCAACGTATTGTCGTCAGATAACTTTACGTGCTAACGACGTCATCGTGAAAATTTGGCTTCTTCGATCAATCAATCGACATGGCATTGTTCATCATAGTTGTGTAAAACTATATCGACCAGTCGTCGGAGAAAGTGATGTCACATTCAATTTCCCCAACTATGTCAACCTGTGCATGCAATTCATTCAAATTTTGAGCGATGACAACGACGCACCCATTAACAATGGTCACAATGAATCCGATTTTGGCGAAGTAAACGTCCGTTTAATTTCTGGCGAGAACCCCCGACGTATTTTTCTCCTCCAAGATGCTTGGAATGACCATTTGGCGATCGGCGAAGAAAATTTACCTATTCTTACGCGTGCATATGAAATCATGCTTCAATGGGAGATGCGTAATATGCGTTAATGTTTCGTGAAATTTTTTTTGATCATGAATAAAAATTTTTAAAACAAAACGAAAATCAAAATGTGAAAAGAAAAAAGTGGTGTTGTTTTGTTATTTTCAATTTTTTTTCAGATGACACCGTTTTATCGAAAAAAAATTTTGAATTAAATGTAAGTACTTATTCTTTCAGAAATCTGTTTGTTGTGACATTTTTCAAAGGTTCAAAGCAGTGAAAAAATATTTTTCTTTTTAATCAATAACAAAATGTTAAAGTATTTTTTTGAGTTGAATGTAAGTACTTTTTTCTTAAATCTGGCTATTGTTATAAGTATTTTTTTCAGATGAAACAGTTTTATTGAAAGTATTTTTTTGAAGTGAATGTAAGTGTTTATTCTTTCTTAAATTGGTTTTGTTGTAACATTTTTTTCAAATCTGTTTTGTTATGAAGTGTTTTTCTTTTGTAGTTTTGTTGATAACGTATAAAATGGTTGGATAAATGTTTTTTTTTTTTAATCAATAACAAGATGTCAAACATTTTTCATTAATTATAAAACACTAAATTTATTGTTTTTGATTCAAAACAAAGCGATTTTTCAAACGCAATTTAAAATTTCTATAAAAGAAAGATATGTAAGGAGAAATATTCATTTTAGTTTTGACTGTGAATAGTGATACAAGTGAACAGTGAAAAGAATTCATAATGGATTTTTTTGTTTTAGACAGAGACACCTCGAATAAGTTTATTCGAAGGTTTTTTGAGTATGTTTGTGAACATACATGTGTTTATAACCGTACAATAAAAGTAAAAATTCCAAAAGAAATTTTCACATACTGGATGCATTTAACAAGGATAAACCGTACTGGAACTCACATAATGACATCTCCACTAGATTGGCTTGTTTCTCCAATTGAATCAGATCTTAAGTTGAATGTTTGTGAGAAAAAAGCTGTCGTATATTTATATGAAGAATGTGACGAACAGTTGTTAATTCCAAAAATTGATCGAAGAGCATATCGTCTTACATTCGGAGCATGCGTTGAAATGTATATACGACGTCAAATAAAACTCTTTGAAAGATATCATCAATCAACAAATGGGAATTCACAGCTTACATTCAATGGAATGTATTTACCATTACCAACAATTCATATTCCATCAAATGATTCGGATGATATTAGAATGAATCCAGCTGTTTTAAATCCATTTAAATTTGCTGATGAGAAATATGATTGGTATAACTTTGATGATAGTTTACCAAAATTTCGGTGTCGACCAGCACTTCTTAATTCAATCGATTGCATGCAAATTCTGGAAGAATCAACACAAGAACCATCAAATGAACTATTATCAAAAATTGTTATGTATCTTCGACCGTTCAGGTTCATTTTACCTTTAACATTTCTATACGATATTTTTGGTGGGTTTTTTCAAAAAATTATTGAATTGTATCTTTGTGATGAATCAAGTAATCGTAATTTAATGGATCGATTAGAAAGAAGTTGGATTAAAAAGAATACAGCAATTAAACATTGTGTTTACGTATGGTCTGAAAAAATTTTGAATGAAAGAAATGTTCAAGGTTTTATCTCAGGTGGTTTTTTGACATATGCTCTTAATTTTACGAATGATTTTGATGATATAGATATATATTGTAGATTTGATATGGATTTAATACAGTTTTTTTTAAATATGACAGATGCATCTGCACCAAAAACTGATAATCATATTTGGATTTTAAGCCCAGATGATGATTATATGAAATCAACAAAAACTGCAAGAAAAACAAACACACATTATCGTGATTTTAATCATGAAGAAAATCTTTTCGATCCCAATATTATTTACAAAAATGAAAAACATGTTTTAACATTTATCGAAGCAGTTGTTACTTTAAATCCAAATTTGTCTATAGTTAGGCATTGGAAAACAAAATATGGTCATTTGCCGAAAGTCATATTTTACAAAGTAGATTTAGAACTAGATAATTACACAATTTTAAAAATGCTTAATGAAATAGATTTACCAATTTGTAGAAATGCTTTGGTGTTTAGTCATATTAAAGCATTCCATTTGCGAGAAGTAATTTTAAATTACATTTATGGCATTCATTGTTGTTTAACAAATCCTCAAGTTGTTAATTTTATAAATGGATGGCAAACAGACGAAATAAGATATCAAATGGCTATTGAAAAAAAAGTTCGCGATTTTTCTAATGAAATAATTCCAATGTCACGTGGTAATAAATATTTTAATGAATGTCAAAAATTATTTGATCGTGATTTTATGATTAAAACACGTAAAATAAATTTAATTATAAATCACTATGACACAGTTCCTATTGGGGACTTTGAAAGAAATGGTTCAACAAGATATAATAAGTATTTACAAAAATTGAATCCAAATAATAATACATTTGACTATAATGGCGTTTTATCTTTACCAATGAAAGTGCCTACATTAAAGTATCTATCGTATTGTAATTTAATGAATTCTGTAAGAAACGTTAATTATAATTGTTTATGTTATTTCAATTATCCATGCTATGAAATGGAAGAAGAATGAAAAAACATAGCGATTTTTTGTGAATACCGATAAAATTTGTATTAAAGAAATGTCATGAATTGTAAATAAACACATTAAATATGAATTTTATTTCTTTGTTTTTTTTTAAATTTTTTATAGAAAATTCGAGAGATTTCTAGTTTTTTTTTCATATTTTTATTATCAAACATTTATTTGGTATTTCATTTTAAAGGTTGTTTTTCTTACATGTATTGCATCAGATTCCCGAAATTTCATTACAGAAAACATCTTTATGAGAAATAATGTAAGTGTATGTGTATTTGCTTTTTGATATAAATATAAGATTTCTGTTGAGAAAATTTGAGATCAATTTGAGATTTTAAAGTGAAAACATCTTTACAAAAGAAGAGAAAAGTTAATTGTTTTTAAAAGTAAAGTGAACTTGTTCAAAATGTTGTCACGATTGAATAAAAATGCTGCATCTCGGTGCAGTTACATTTCTTTCGATGACCTCGAAGTTGGTCGATATAAAATTCAAAAGTTTTCGTTAAAAGAATCAGCATATGGTAAGAAGGAACAACTTTTATGTCTTTTCATTAAGGATGGGTATGTAATTTTACCAGAACGTATGGCAAGGAAGCTGAACAACCAAACGGCAGTCGATAAGTTAAACGCTGATTCCTACGACTTTATCTTTGATGGAAAAGATCCAGTTCCGCCACATCGTATTAATTTTCGTTTTGAACTTCGAAAAAATGTACAGAAAAGTGGCAGTGACAGCTCTGACAATGAGGATAATGCAGAATGGGCATAAACAATAAATTTGTTTTTTGTTTTCTCTGTATTTTTTTAAATATGAATAAAAGCAAACCGAAAATGGTTACTGTAAAATGAAAATTGTTGTTGTTTTTATACCCTTTTTCATTTTCAGATTTGAGTAATTGTACATCAATTAATTTTGTATGAGTATGAGTTGATGAAGAGTTCGAATAATGACTAATTTATATTATGATTTTTTTGAGAAAATAGCTATATAAATGAGACACTATCACATAAGTTAGCACAGTTAGCTTCGAGTTTTCGTTATGAACAGATAGTTTTCTTAAATTGATTATACTAATTTCAATATATAGAGTTATGGATAATAACGCAGAAGAAGTTTTACTTATATTCTATAACAAAAATAATAAAGTTGTAGAAATAAATATTCTTGATTCGTACAGACGTCGTAACTTGAAAGATTGTTTTAAAATACCAAAAGGAGCTGTTGAAGTTCGGATTATGTTTGATCAAGATTACATAAAAAAATATCACTGTGCACAATGCTTTTCTTATGAACGTGAAAGTGAAAAATCTGTTGAAGAGTCCAATAAAGAAGAAGAGTCTGAGATGAAGAATGAGGAAGATATAGTAGACAGAGATGAGGATTATGAGGATGAATTTCTAGAACCAGAAATTATTGATGTACTTCCAGAAGTATATCGTGTGAGATTCTAAAATCTGAATAAATTATAAATCATGTACTGAACATCACCTTGACTGGTGAATTTAAGAGAATGTTTTAGACGAATCTAGAATGAAAAAATTCACTATTTATTTATATAAGTGATCTTTTACATTCGTTTGTATAAGAATTTTTATCATTTATGAATTTTTTTAAAATTAATAAACAAAAAAAGGCATAAACATGTTGTTTTCTTCTTGAATTTTTTGATATAAATAGAAGTTCGATTCTAAAATCTGAATAAGTTATAAATCATGTACTGAGCATCCCCTTGACTGGTGACTTTAAGAGAATGTTTTAGACGAATCCAGAATGAAAAAATTTACTATTTATTTATATAAGTGATCTTTTACATTCGTTTGTATAAGAATTTTTATAATTTGTGAATTTTTTTAAAATTAATAAACAAAAAAAGGCATAAACATGTTGTTTTCTTCTTGAATTTTTTGATATAAATAGAAGTTGCTCTGTGAATGGGAAATTTAGTTCTCGTTTGACTAGCAACTGAAGCGAATCAAAATTGAAAATATGGCTTCTCCACAAGGTATTGAAGTAATTCTCAAGAAGAGTGCGTTCAAAAACCGAGTCAGATCTTATACATATAAGAATCTTGACTTTATTGATTTACCTCCATTTTTAAATGAATGTCAAAAAAATTTTATAAAACAAACTAAAGAAGTTTTAAAAGATCTCTCAAGTGTTAAATCAAATGCAATACTTGATGCAGAATTCATTCGTCCAGTAATGAAACCCGATTCATCAGAGATAGAATATCAACAAACTGCCAGATTTTATCTTCAAAGTGAAATGAAAGAGATAAATCCAACAACAAAACTAAATCATTGGTTTAAAACAAACATTTTTGATTGTATATTGAGTAAAGTTGATCAGTTACAAGAATGTGGTTCAGGTTGGACATTAAATAAAATTATTCAGTTGGATGTAAATTATAATAAGTTTGTGCATTTCAGCGGTAGTTCATATATACCATTACCAAAGAAAATGCGAAATAAGCATGCAATAGTGAATGTGAAAAATAATGATAATGAATGTTTTAAATGGGCAATTTTGTCAGCATTACATCCAACAACAGACCATAGTGATAGACCTTCAAAATATGAACGTTTCAAAAATGAATTAAATTTTGAAAATATAACATTTCCGATGAATTTAAATGATATTGACACATTTGAAAAAAATAATCCAAACATTTCCATCAATGTATACATTCTAGAAAATAAATATAACCCAGAAATAGAATGTTACCAACATGTAGTGTTACCAATACGTCTAACTGAAGAAGTGAAAGAAAAACATGTACATTTACTTCTTTTAATTGAAAACGACTTTGATGAGGATGAAAGTGATAATAATGATGAAAATGATGGTTTTCATAAAGATAAAAAAAGAAAGAAGAGTAATTTGAATATTGTTATGGAGGAAAATTTTCATGATAAATTAATTAAAACACATTATGTTTGGATAAAAAATTTAAGTGCTTTGATTCATAACCAAGTTGTAAAAAAAAATCGAAATATGAAATATTTTTGTGACAGATGTTTACACTATTTTTATACTCAAGAAAAATTAAACAATCATACAAATCAGTGTAAAGAAATGAATTATTGTAAAATTTCAGTACCATCTAAAGATAACTGTAGCTTACATTTTGAAAATTATAAAAACAAAATGGAAATTCCATTTATTATTTATGCAGACATTGAATCATTACTAATGTCAGAACAAAATGACTATGATACTGATAAACAAAAGAATCCTAAAGGAACGAAAAATATTCATATACCAAACAGCATTGGTTACTATTTTCATTCAAGAATGTTTCCAAATTTATCACATTATGACAGTTTCACAGGACCTGACTGTATTACAAACTTTATTGATCGTCTAAGAGATTTGGTGGTGAATGTAATTTGGGATAAACTTGAAATAAACGAACCAATGTCTTTAAGTGTGGATGAAGAAAACGAATTTCAAAGTGCAACAATTTGTCATATTTGTAATAAAAATCTTAATGAAGATAAAGTGCGTGATCATTGTCATCTAAGTGGAAAATTTCGTGGAGCTTCACATTCAAAATGCAACTTGAAATACCAAATATCAAAATCAATACCGATTGTTTTCCATAATTTAGATTATGACTCACATTTTTTGATTGAAAAGTTGGCTAGTTCATTCAAAGGTCATATATCCATTATTCCCAAAACTAGTGAGAATTATATTTCATTCACTAAACATATTAAAAGATCTGACTTTGTTGATAAAAATAAGATAAGAAAGAGTTCTAAGGTTAAGTTGCGGTTAACATTTATTGATTCATTTAGATTTTTACAATGTGGATTAGCAAAATTGGCTGAAAATTTGCCACCTGATCAATTGAAAATTACTCGAAAACAGTGGGAAAATTTAAATGAAGAACAATTTAATTTACTAACACAAAAAGGTGTTTACCCCTATGAATATATGGATTCGTGGAATAAATTGAACGATACACAATTACCGCCACAAGAAAATTTTTATTCTGATCTCACCAATTGCAGTATTTCTGATGAACAATATGCATTTGCTCAAACGGTATGGGACACATTTAACATTCAGACAATGCGTGAATACACTGACATTTACTTGAAAACTGATGTACTACTGTTGGCTGATATATTCGAGAAGTTTCGAGATAGTTGTATAAAATTATACGAACTTGATCCTGCGCATTACTATACATTGCCAGGCTACTCTTGGGATTGTATGTTAAGGTACACTGGTGTAGAAATTGAATTGTTGAATGATATAGATAAGATAATGTTTATTGAGCGTAGTCTAAGAGGTGGTATCAGCCAATGTTCAAACCGACATTGTGAAGCTAACAATAAATACATGGGAGATGATTTTAATCCATCCATACCGTCAAACTATCTGATTTATTTCGATGTCAACAATTTATATGGATGGACAATGACTCAATCACTTCCAATATCGGATTATAAATGGTATAATGAATATACATACACAAAGAATAAAAACGATACAGAAATATTCGATGTTGCTACAATTCAAAGTCAAATGTTAAACACACCTGACGACGCACCATATGGCTATATGCTTGAAGTGGACCTGGATTATCCAGAAAAGTTACATGATTTACATAATGACTATCCTTTTTGTGCTGAGCATGCAAGTGTCGGTGACTCTAAAGAAAAAAAACTACTTTTAACACTAGAAAATAAAAAAAACTATGTTATACATTACCGCATGCTTAAGTTAGCGCTTAATCATGGACTAATATTAAAAAAAGTTCACAATATTTTACGATTCAAGCAATCAACTTTTCTGAAAGATTACATTTCTTTGAATACAAACGAAAGGGCTAAAAGTAAAACGGAATTTGAAAAAGATATGTATAAATTAATGAATAATGCAATTTACGGTAAATCTATGGAAAATGTTCGCAATCGCGTCGACATTAAACTGGTTGATAAATGGCATGGTCGATACGGTTTAAAAAAAATGATTGCCAAACCAAATTTCAAAAGAAATGTAATTTTCAATGAAAATTTAGTTGCTACTGAAATGCATCGTTTAGATATCGTAATGAATAAGCCCATGCAAATTGGAGCAGCTATTCTCGATATATCTAAACTCAAAATGTATATGTTTCATTATGATTTCATGCTCAAACACTTTAATGTTAATGACTGTATTATTCAATATACCGATACTGACTCATTTTTGTATGAAATAAGGAATAAAGACGTTTATCAATTTATTAAAGAAAATAAGAGGCACTTTGATACAAGCGATTTTCCTATAAATAATCCATACGGTATAACACAGTACAACAAAAAAGTTCTTGGAGTAATGAAAGACGAAAATTGTGGACTAATTATTAAGGAATTTATAGGTTTAAGATCAAAAATGTATACTTTCCGAATGCATTCTAATAATAAGGTGACTAAGAAGGCTAAAGGTGTTAAAAAAAGTGTTTTATCAAAGACCATTTCCTTTGATGACTATAAGAAATGTATTTTAGAAAATTGTACACTAACTAAACCACAATCTATGATTAAATCATTTCTTCATAATGTTTATACAGTTACCAATACAAAAAAGGTTTTGGATCCATTTGATGATAAAAGATTTATTATCCCTAATTCAACAAAAACTCTGGCTTGGGGTCACTATAAAATTAACTCATATAAATAGATTTAAAAGAATCCAAATAAATAAACACACAAGAAATTTATTTTCATTGAACATTTTTTTATTCACATTTTACTTTTCCGCACACACCTAGTGTGTAAGGTAAAGTATTGGAATCGGTCGAAAAATTGACATCCTCAAAAAACATGTTTTCTGGGTGTTTTAGGAGCCAGGGAACACGAATCTAGCGTTTTTTCGATGTCCGAATGTATGTGCGTGGTACCCTGTACGCTGTACGCTGTACGCTGTACGCTGTACGCTGTACGCTGTACGCTGTACCCTGTACGCAAAAATTTGTTAACACGATAACTTTCAAACAAGAAAAGTAATTCAAAATCTGACTTCACAGGATGATTGGGGGTGCCGAGGAATAGAAACCATTAGATTTTGAGCGACTTTGGTTGACAGGGTAAAGTGTCATGTCTGGTGTGATGCCCATGTCCATCCATGGGAAAAATTCAATTTTTCTTCCAAAAGTGATATTTAATGTATTCTTAAACACTCAAAAATGTGTATTGGGGGGTTTTTG